GGGGGGTCTGTGGACCCTCCCTCCTCCCCCCCTCCTCCCCCCCTCCCCCCCCAAGGCGTCCCCCCCCACCGCCCGCCCGAGCGCGGTGGCGTAATCTGAAGGGGCCCTGGAACACACAAATAAATAGACACAAATAACAGGATTCCCCACATGTCCCGATATTTTCTGGGTTTTGTCTTCCCCCCCACTTCCCGCATGTTTCCCATCGCGCGGCAGCGCAATTGGATTAAGGGGCCACTCTGCCGCCGAATTAGGCCAGATTCAGCGGTTTCGAGCGGGATTGCACGGGATCGTGCTGGAGTAGACTGGCTTTCGGTCACGGATATACTAGCGCCGATGCTGAATGCAACCTCCCAGCAGATGCATCCTAACGTGCCCATCGTCCGGAAGATAGCTGAGTGCAGCGAGGAGCCCAGCTGCATAGCTCCAGGTCCATCGCAGGCAGCCGCGGCACGAGTCGCATGGTGTGCAATCCGGCGCCGGACAGGCCAACGCCGAGCAAACAGGTCCGACACAGACGGCGCTGAGCAGAGCCGCGTCAAGCTCGGCACCACCGCCGCCGCACCCAGCAGCGTGAGTGTACAGCGCCGGTGGCGAGGTGCCGAAGTTCGCGGAACCCGGCAGCGGCAGCGTCAAGTCCAGCATCAGGTAATCGAGCACCGACAGAAATTGCCCGAGAGCGACGAGCCCAGTGTCAGGAATTCCAACACCGACAGCGACGACCAATCTGCGCCCAACACCGATAGCGACGAGCCCAGGCGTGAGAGGCCAGGTGCGACAACGACGAGCCCAGTATCACGGTATCAGGAAGTCTAGCACGGACAGCGAAGATCCAATCTGCGTCCAACCCCGAGTACCCACGCGCGAGAAAGCCAACACATTAACAACGAGTCAATCCGCAAGACGCCCACAAGCGGCAACCGCTGAGCTGAGCTGTTTGGTTGCATCTGGACCTAATCATCAAACACGGGGACGTTGCTCTACGGCCGCTGGCCTCCACAACATTTCTGCCAACCTCCGCCAACGAAACTCCTTTTCCGTCGCACTCGCTTATTTCGGCGGACCTGCTTCGAGCTTCTGCCGCATAAGAACTGCCAACTCCAACCTGGGGAGACCAACAAAGATCGACACCGCTACTCCCCGCACCTCTTCCGGGATACGTTCTGACCAGATTTTTGAGGCGAGTCCAGCCGTGGAGACGAGACCCGCCCAGGAAGCCCAGAGAGGCGACACCGAGGAAATCGTAGCCGTATCGGTGCCGTTTCCTCCTCTGACAACCTCGGCCGACGAGGCCTCTCGTGGAACCAGGTGCGCTACGCCAAACACCGACAGCGACGACCCCACGCACATCAAGCCAAGCACCGACAGCGAGGAGCCCAGGCGCGCCAAAGCCGATCACGGACATCGACGACCCCAGTCTGCACGAAGTCCAGCACCGACAGCGACGAGCCCAATCTGCACGACGTCCAGCAGGGACAGCGACGAGCCCAAGCTGCACGAGCTCCAGCGCCGACAGTGGCGGGCCCAAGGCACAGGAAGTCCAGCACGGACAGCGACGAGCCCAACCAAGCTGCAGGAAGCCCAGCACGGACAGCGACGAGCCCAAGGCGCACAAAGTCCAGCACCGACAGCGACGACCCCAAGGCACACGTAGCCCACAAAGGACAGCGACGCGCCCAATCTGCACGTAGTCCAGCACCGACAGCGAGGAGCCCAATCTGCACGAAGTCCAGCACGGACAGCGACGAGCCCAAGCTGCACGGAGTCCAGTGCAGACATGTCCAAGGCACAGGAAGTCCAACACGGATAGCGAGGCGCCCAATCTGCACGACATCCAGAACGGACAGCGACGCGCCCAATAGGCACACAGTCCAGCATCGACAGCGAGGACCCCAATATACACGTAGTCCACAAATGACAGCGACGCGCCCAATGTGCACGAAGTCCAGCACGGACAGTGACGATCCAATCTGCACGAAGTCCTGCGCCGACATGGGCGACCCCAAGGCACAGGAAGTCCAGCACGGGCACCGAGGTGTCCAACCTGCACGACGTCCAGAACGGGCAGCGACGAGCCCAAGCTGCACGAACTCCAGCGCCGACAGTGGCGGGCCCACGGCAAAGGAAGTCCAGCACGGACAGCGACGAGCCCAAGCTGCAGGAAACCCAGCACGGACAGCGACGAGCCCAAGGCGCACAAAGTCCAGCACCGACAGCGACGACCCCAAGGCACCACGTAGCCCACAAAGGACAGCGACGCGCCCAATCTGCACGTAGTCCAGCACCGACAGCGACGAGCCAATCTGCACGAAGTCCAGCACGGACAGCGACGAGCCCAAGCTGCACGAAGTCCAGTGCTGACAGGGGCGAGCCCAAGGCGCAGGAAGTCCAGCACGGACAGCGTCGAGCCCAAGCTGCACGAAGCCTAACAGGGACAGCGACGAGCCCAACCAAGCTGCAGGAAACCCAGCACGGACAGCGACGAGCCCAAGGCGCACAAAGTCCAGCACCGACAGAGACGACCCCAAGGCACACGTAGCCCACAAAGGACAGCGACGCGCCCAATCTGCACGTAGTCCAGCACCGACAGCGACGAGCCCAATCTGCACGAAGTCCAGCACGGACAGCGACGAGCCCAAGCTGCACGAAGTCCAGTGCTGACAGGGGCGAGCCCAAGGCGCAGGAAGTCCAGGACGGACAGCGTCGAGCCCAAGCTGCACGAAGCCTAGCAGGGACAGCGACGAGCCCAAGCTGCACAAAGTCACGATGCCCAGCAAGGACAGCGACGAGTCCAATGTGCACAAAGTTAAGCGCCGACAGCGGCGACCTCAAGGCACAGGGAGTCCAGCACCGACAGCGACGAGCCCAAGGCACATGTAGTCCACCACGGGCAACGACGAGCCCAATCTGCACGAAGTCCGCCACGGGCAGCGACGAGCCCAAGCTGCACAAAGTCCAGAACCGACAGCGACTACACCAGGGCACAGGAAGTCCAGCACCGACAGCGACGAGCCCAAGGCGCACGTAGTCCACCACGGGCAGCGACGGCCCGAGCTGCAGGATGTCCACCGCCGACTGTGACCCGCCGCGGCGTGCCACGTCGTGATGAGTGCTGGCAGCAACATGTCCACCTCACGAGGATCAGCATCGACCGTGCCACGCCGAGGTAGGACATGCTCCAGACGACTGCGAGGGGATTCGTGAACATAACCCACCAACAGCAACGAAAACTTGGAGAATACATCCGCCACCGCGCTGAGCCGCGACTGGTGTGTTTGTGTGTGTGTGTGTGTCTGCTCACGAATCCCACTGACTCACCACGCGGCGACACGAAGCCAGGACCAGGACACCGTGGTACCGGGATAAAAATTGGGATCTCTGAGATCTGGCGCAACTGGAAGGCACCGTGGCCTGGAGCGCTCTGGAGCGATCTATCCCGGTCCTCGGCCCGCGCGCGCCACTCAGACTGCGCACTTGGATGTCGCCCGTCTCCTCCACTCGACCACGCCCCCTCCTCCCGCCCCCCGAAGCGCGGTGGCGGATGCACGCGGCAGCGCAGCTGGATTTATAAGAACCCCACACGTGCATCGCGGGGCCCTACCTGCGCGACCTGGGGTGCGCCGATTGGGGGGGGGGCGGGGGGGGGGCGGGGGCCAGGGGTTAGCCCTGAAAGAGAAGGAAAAGGGTGCCGTGGCATCTTCGGGCGGTGCTTCATGGGGGGCGATAACTGAAAGGGGGGGAGAAACGCGTGCTCGTTTCGTGCCGCTTTTGGGCCCCAGGGAGGCCTTGGGCACGAAAAGCTCACCTTTCCCCCCCATGTACCGCCCCCCACCCGTCAATTACGCAACGCCGGAGATTTGGGATCTGGGAGGTCTCATAACCCTGGCCATGGTGGCCAGCGCACCGTGGCCCGAGGCGCGTGCGCGGACGAGGGGGAGGAGGGGGGGAGGGGGGGGGCAGGATCCGCGGCATCAGGAAGGTGTCATGGTCCCGGCCATGGTCAGGGGGCCTGGAGCCAGCCTCCTCCTCCTCCTGCTGCCGCTGCTGCTGCTCCTCCTCTTCTTCCTCCTCCTTCGCTCTGAAAGAGGAGGAAGATCCTGAATTCGGATCCGCCGTGCGTTGGGCGATGTCGTGAGTAGGGGGGATATTTCCGCCCTACTTCTCAGGCTCCTCTGATGTCGATATCCGCCCTACTTTGCCGTCGCTGTTTCCGCCATACTTCTGCTGAGATATTCGCCCCACATGTCTGAGGCGGGAATGTATGCCCTAATTCCACGCATTTTTGGTGTGCATGTCCGACACAACTTAACAAAAAGCTGGCGGATCCGAAATCAGGGCTAGCTCTGCAAGAAGAGGAAGAGGCGGCCGTGACATCTGGGAGACGCCATGGCAGCAGCCCCGCTGCCCACATGCACCCCCCTGGTCTTCAGCCCCCCCTCTTCCCAGACATACTCCGATGTGATTCGCTCCCGACCCGTTCCTTGGGCCAAATTTTCGACCAACATTCGCTTCTGATGGCCTCGTTCGGCGGCGAGCCCGGTGGGGAAGTGAGACGGGGCGGGCCTTCTCAGAAGGCTCGGAAGTCCAGTCCACCGGCCCCCTGAGAAGTTCTCTGAGCCTTCCCCGAAGACGCAGAAACCCCCTCTCAGCGGGGGCGAGGGCTCAAGAGAAGTCCCGCCGCCTTCCGAGAAGGCCTTGTCCTTGGTTTTCCTAGGCGAGCTGTTGGGCCTCGAGGACCCGAAGCGTCAGGGGCCTTCTCCGTCTCACTCCCCCCCTCGCTCGCCGACTCGTGGCCCCACCACGGGCCCCAGAGAGGCGGAGCAGACGCCCAGACTGCTACAGAAGCCACGTCGTCGGAGAGCGGGGCCGTCGACGCCCCCCACCCGGCGCCTGCACGGCGGCCGACGCCCGGCCACGTCGAGAGGGGCAACGCAAGTACAGCCGACCCGTAGCGCACAAGGCTGCGCGGGAAGGCTGCAGGGGCCTCGGAGGGCCACGTCGGCGTTCTACGAGCGAGGCTGGCCAGCGAGGGTCGCTCAAGATGGGCCGAAGGGGCGAGGACGCCAGGGTACACCTGGGAAGGTTGCCCATCCCTGCTATGTTGGTCGGCTGTAGTTCAGGGGGGGGACCAGCTCCCGGGGTTAACCATTGACCTGGAATCGGCGACAGATGGCGGATTCCGGAAACCCTGAACCCAAAGATGTGGTCATCTCTTGGGAGCGCATACTTTACTTCCGCCCCCTTCCGCCGGCGGAGGCGGCCTCGTTTTACTTCCGCCGCCTTCCGCCACCCTTCCGCCGAGGAAGAAATGGCAACTCCTTCGAGCCTCGAAGGCAACCCCTGATCGCGACTCCGCGAGTTGCTGGGCGGGGCGGCCTATCGGGCCCCATGTCGGCGACCAGCGGGCGACTGGGGGTCTGTGCGGCCTCCCCCTGATCCTATCCCCTCCTTAACATTGCCCCTGATCCCCTTCGACGCCCCCCCGCACTGGCTCGGTGTCTGGCACCCAGCGACGGTGCGGGGCAGAGTTCGGACCAGCTGAGGGTTAGGTTGGGCATGTCCTCCAACAGGCGGGATTTGGAAGGAAAATGCTAAACAAAAATAAGTCAACACATATTCAACCTGATGTAAACACGAACCCCGACCTTAGAGGACAAGTGGGCGTGACTTGCGAGGAAGAGAAACACAAAGAAGAGGAAACCTATAATGTGCATAGTGCTGATTCCCGTGTTGTCCGTTTGACGCTGTGCCGCTTTAAGGCGCATGCTGCTGGTTCCCGTGTTGTCCGTTTGACGCTGTGCCACTTTGTCGGGGCGTTTCCGACCATCTTGGAGCCCTGTTGGGCAGCCTTGGGGCCCTGGGGCCCTGGGGCGTCTCCGACGACCATCTTGGGGCCCTCTTAAGCAGTCTTGGGGCCCTCCTGGAGGTCTCTTGGGGGCTTCCCGGGGAACTCATGGAAGCTTCTTGGGGCCTCTCGGGGGCCTCTTGGGGCCTCCTAGCGGCCTCTTGTGCGGAGAACCCAAAATGCCGGTCCGTGCTCCCCCTCTGGGGCCCCTCTTGGGACGTTCTTGGGGCTTTCTTAAGCCGTCTTGGAGGCCTCTCGGGCCGTCTTGGAGGCGTCTTGGGCCGTCTGTGCGCTCTCGTGGGGGCATCTCAGGCCGTCTTGGGGCGATCTGCAAGGCCTCTTGGGCCGTCTTGGAGCGTCGGGAAGCCGAAAAGGCGAAAACGAGAAAAACCCCGGAAAACCATAGGGAAATCAATGAATGTTGACTCTTGGGGCTCTTTTGGGGGGCCTTTTGGACACCTCACGGGCCGTCTGGGGGGCTTCTTGGGCCATCATGAGGCCGTCTTGGGCGTCTTGGACCGGTCTTTCGGCGACTCGTGGCTCTCCTGGACCATCTGCGGACCATCTTGGGGCCGCCCGTGCCGCATGGAAGCGCGCCTGCCGAAATGGGGCCGTCTTCCGCGCCGGCTTCCGCCGGCGTTCGCTGCGTGGCCGGGGCCATGTCCCGGGGGGTACCCCCCCAGACCCCCCCCGGGGAACACACAACGGGAACCCCTCCGCAAGGTCGAGCAAACATTGTCAAGAATAGTCGAAACATCGTCCCCAGACTATTTGGACTACTTTTGAATACTCCTCCTGTAGAAGGACGTGCCCCACTTAAGCGCAGGGGCGGTCCGACAACGGCCCCCCCGATAAAGGACCAGCTCAGGGGGGAACTGTCTTTCACCCCAGATCCGTCTTGATGGCCACGGGATACTGCACAGTCAGGCAACAGCTTGGAATGGCAAAAAAACAACATCGTCGGGGAACCTGGGCCTCGTAGGTCCGACGCTGCGAACACCTGCAAACACCACGAGACATCACGACCCCAGCTCTCTGCGGCATTCCTCGGGCCCGATCGATCTGCGATGGCCCCGGGGCTCGGCACTGGGCGCACACGCCCGGCGTGAGCGAGGAGGGAGGAAGGAGGAGGAGGGAGGAGGGAGGAGGGAGGAGGAGGGAGGAGGAGGGAGGAGGGAGGAGGAGGAGGAGGCGGAGGCGGAGGAGGAGGAGGAGGCGGAGGAGGCGGAGGAGGCGGAGGAGGCGGAGGAGACTGGGCGAGCACTGGGCACGACACCCGGATCTCGAGGCTCTTCGACGCCCGCCGCGGCACCTGCACGATGTCCGGCGCCCGGCGCCCAGCGGCCCGCTCCGGGCCCGGCGACCTGTGGAGGTCCCCTTGGGGGCTCCACAGGTCCGCTGCGGCAGGCCCGTGCGGCGTCGGCGCGCGCAGAGGCTTGTGACACTGCGTCGATGGTTCGACCTTGCACCGATCGCGGCCTCGATCGTTCAGGGTGGAATTCCGTCGGGTCCTGCGGCGTCACCGTGCCCCTCGGTGCTTGGGCGTCGTTCTATCGTGCGGAGTTCAAGCCTGAACACCTGCGCTGGCGTCGCCGGCGCGCCATCGCCGCGTGAACCTACCGTACGACACCCGTCGGCGGACACGGAAAAACCAGCACCATGGCGAGGGATGCGGGTACAGTCGGCCCGTATCATAAGGATGCGCGGTAAAGGCCGCAAAGGCCTTGGACGCCCATTTCGAAGCTTTTCGAGCGGGGCGCGTCCAACGAACGTGGCAAGGATGGACCGAGGAGGTAAGAATGTAATGGGACCCTTGGGAAGGTTGCCCATCCTTGCCGTGCGGGTCGACGGTGGGATGTCAGAGACGGCGCGAGCTCGCCTGGCCTGTTCTATCCCCACCCTCTTCGGCGCCCCCCTCTTTCCGGTGGTTTCTTGTTGGGCCGTGGCTGAAGGGGCCCTAGGACACACAAATCAATAGACGCAAACAACAGGATCCCCCTACCAATCTTATCTGGGTTTGTGTCTTCCCCCCCACTTCCCATATTTTCGCATATTTTCGGGGGAATCGACGATTAATTGTGTCTGTGTGTTTCTTCCCTCCTGAATGGCATGGGCCTCTGGCGGCTGGTCGGGACGTCTGGGCACGCCCGCGGGACGCTCTCGGCGAGGCGCAGCCGCTGGAAGGCACCCCGAGGCTGCACAACCGCCGAGAACCGACGAAAGCAGCTCCGAAAACCCCCCGGAACGCCCTCCGACGCCTGAGCGACGACGAAAAAAGACGCGGGCCTTACGCGAGAAGAGGTAGCGACCTCAAGCCCTTAGGCCGCGGCTTACGGGGGCCGCCAGCGCGACACTCTCTTCTTCCTTTCTCCGTGCTGCACAGAAGCCCTGCGGCACGAGGGGGGGGGGACGCAGGAGGGGAGGGACAGGTGCGCGAGGGAGGAGGCGCGGGCCGCCCGCGCGACACGCTGGACCTCACGCGGGGAGCCTACGCTTAAGTCGGGCGTGTCCCCCTACAGGGGGACTTTCGACGATTTTTTATATAAAAAATTCAAGCAAGATTCCAAAAGGTTAAGCAAACTGCTCAAAAGAAAGTCCCCGTGGAATATGCTTGGGGTATCTTTTATGCTTCGTCGAAAATCCCCCTGTAGGGGGACACGCCCGACATAAGCTTACGCGCGAAGGTCCGCGCAGCCAGGCCCGTTTCCCCCCGTCGCTCGCCTGCACGGTGTCCGGCCCCAGGCGGGCGGGCGCCCCGCTCTGCAGGTCCGCCGGCCTGCCGCACGCGGCGCGGGGCACGGCGACGACAGCCGACCCCGCCCCCCCACCAGGGGATCGCCTGCAGGAGTACCCCCAGGATCGGCACGAAGGAAATTCTCCTCCTCCTCCTCCCCTCCCCCTCCTCCTCTGCCTCCTCCTCCTCCTCCTCCCTCCTCCTCCTCCTCTCCCTCCTCCCTCCTCCCTCCTCCCTCCTCCTCCTCCTCCTCCTCCTCCTCCTCCTCCTCCTCCTCCTCCTCCTCCTCCCCGCTTACCCCAAACTTGACCAGCTCGTCGAATTTACAACAGAGACGTGGGATGCTTGTAGCTCTACGGAGCACTCCACGCATTGATGGTAGAGTCGACGGCTTAATCAATTTTGGAGTACATCAGTTCTGTTTGAAGGGGCTCAAGGGCACACAAAGAACTAGACACACACCCCTTTCTGTTCCCGTATGTTCTGGATTACCGTCTTCCCCCTTCATTTCCCATACTTTCCCATCTTTTCCTGCTGCTTGACGACTCTTTGTGTCTCCGTGCTCTTGTTCCCTCCTGACTGTTGTCGGTCCCCTACTCTAGAGGAAGAAACAAACGCATAAACATAGGCCTTCGACGATACGCGCGGATTTCTTGGATTTGCGCTGGGCTCCCCTCCTTGGCGCGCAGAGCGCGCTAGGGGCGGCGCCGGAGGCGCCGCCAGGAGGGCCCAGCGCGGATCCAAGAAATCTCCGCGTGGAGCGCTGATAGTTTATGCTTATGTTTTTGTCGTTGCTTCTTCGATGCGCGAGAGAGAGAGAGAGAGAGAGAGAGAGAGAGAGAACGCCCCCTGGGGGCGCTCCGCAGGCCCCGCGACCTGCCCCCACAAGAGGCGCCGGGCCCCCCTCAGACCCAGTCCAGGTCAATCCAGACCACGGTCAGTCAGGCCTTGCAGGATCCTGCAGGATCCTGCACCCGAGCCCGGGTCGGTGCGCCCCTGGCCCTGCAGGATCCCGTAAGATCGGGCGCTCTGGTTGACCCCTGTTTGCCTTGACCCCCTTCTCTCTGTCCGAGAGGGGGGGGCGCAAATCATGGCCGGCGGCGTGTGCGCGCCCCACGGGGGGGGGGGGGCCTGGGACGTATTGAAATAAGAAGAGGCGCCATGAGATCTGGGGAAATATCATGGCCCCCGCCATGATATCCACCCCCCCTGGTCATCACCCCCCTTTTTGCTGCTCCCGATTCTCTTGAGCCCCAGCGACCTGCCCCCCCGAGAGGCGCCGGGCCCCCTCAGGCCCAGCAGGTGGACTCCAGCAGGCTCACCGCGCCCGCAGCCCGCGGCCGCGCCGCCACGCACGGGCGCCCGGGGCTCAGCGCCTCGGCGGCGAGGGGGGGGCCGAGTCTCCCCGAGATCTAGGCTCGGGTCGGGCATTTCCTCCTACCGACGGGTCTTGGAGGAGAGATAAGGAATAGTCACAACTAATATCCAAAACATGACCGAAGCATCGTCCCCAGGCTGTGTTTCAAAGACTGGTTTCGATTATTCCTTCTGTATAGAAGGACATGCCCGACTTGGATCTAGGCGGTGCAGCTTTTTCGATTGCACGCAGGGGGTGGCCCTGGACACAGTCCAGCTGCTCGATGCTCTGTGGCGAGATCTGGAGCCCACGAAAGTTTACGCGGTTGGCCTTCAGATTTCTGAGGAGTGTCATGGTATGTTGGGGTGACACGCCGATCAGCGTATGGCCGAGTCAAGCCGAAATGACCACAGCAGGCAGCCCCGAGTTCTGGGAGTCCCTGCTCTCGGCTCCACGCAAAAGTGCCCCTGGACAAGAGTGACTCTTGGTGCGCGGCTTTTGGGGGGCCGCGGGGGGGGGCCAAACACAAGCGCGCAAGACGCCACGGCCGCCTCGCGTCCGGCGATCGGGGGACCCCAGTGGGCCTGCACCAAAGGTCACTCTGGTTCCTTACGTACCCAGACATTCGACGTTCTGATTTTTTCAGGACGGGGTCCCTGGAAGTCCCGACCCGTTCCCCGGGACTGGTTTTTCATCCTGCGTCGTTTTTTTTACGGTCCCGAGTCCCGGCGAGGGCCCCCCGAGGCCGAAACTGGCCAAACACGTCCCGCCTTTTTGTAATTTCACGACGCGAGCATGTCTGGGTACGTCTGCTCGACCCGAGATCTGGGCGGTGCATCTTTTGCACTCCAGGCGCCATCGGCCAGGCTTCTGGCGCCCCGGGGCCATGGGTACTCTCGCGCCTGTGGCAGGCCGTGGGGGATTGCAAGCAGGCCGAGGTCTGCGACGATCGACGCCTGTTCCTCCCCAGCCCTGAGACATCCTGGCGTTTGCAAAGGATGGGTGCTCTCGCGCCTGTGGCAGGCCGTGGGGGATTGAAAGCAGGCCGAGGTCTGCGACGATCGACGCCTGTTCCTCCCCAGCCCTGAGACATCCTGGCGTTTGCAAAGGAGGAGGAGGAGGAGGAGGAGGAGGAGGAGGAGGAGGAGGAGGAGGGGAGGAGGAGGAGGAGGAGGGAGGAGGAGGAGGAGGAGGAGGAGGGAGGAGGGAGGAGGAGGGAGGAGGAGGAGGAGGAGGAGGAGGAGGGAGGAGGAGGAGGAGGAGAGGGAGGAGAGGAGGAGGAGGAGCAGGAGGAGAAGGAGGAGGAGAGCAGGAGGAGGAGGCGGAGCAGGAGAGAGGAGGAGAAGGAGGAGGAGGAGCAGGAGGAGGAGAGGGAAGAGGAGAAGGATGAGGGAGCAGGGAACTGTTCACCAGGCATTGACGCTGGGCTTCAGGCCCCTGGACCCTTGCAGATCGATCCGGCTCGACAGACGTCGCAGAAACATCATATTGGTCTCGGGCCCTTGTCGTGCGTCGTCGGGATGTTGCACCTGGATTTCTGCCGAGCTGTGTGCTTTGCAACCCTGGCTTCTCCCTTGAATGCATGCCTCTGGAGCCTGTGATCGGGCCCCGGTCATACAGCAAAAAAAACGACTGGGGACAAAACTCACCCTGGAGAAGGGGTCGGCGGGACCTCCGGGGCCGCTGATAGACAAACATCGCGGCAAGGGGAGGGGAGGGGGATTGGTTGATTGGGCATGGCGATAACACAGAGGGCCGGGACTAGGGCAAAGGATAAAAAACGGCAGGGCAAGCAACTCGCAGGCGGATGCCGCAACCGAGCCCCCGAGGAGCGAGAAGCCACCCACCACGCCAGAATGACCTGCTTGCCGCTGGCCCGTAACCCCTGGACGGAACCCGACAAATCCTTGCAATTCCTTCACGCTTCGGGAGGAGGGGGGAATGCAGAGAGAGAGAGAGAGAGGGAGGGGACCCCCCCTCCGTAACTACACATGGAGACCACCACTCCTCTCTCTCTCTCCCTCGACTCTGTCCGGAAGACATCCCGCCTTCACCGCGTATTGTTTTACTCACTAGATTTCAACTAGTATTGGTGTTTCTTGGTTTCCTTTCAGTCGGAGCGTTTTCGGTGTTTCAAGAAAGTGCTCCCGCTGCAGCGCTGGCCTCAACTCAGGATCGGTGATTTACCCCCGCCGTTCAGCACGGCGTTCATCTTAGGATCGGCGATTTGCTCCCGCCGTTTAGGAGGAGAAGAAGGAGGAGGAGGTGGAGGAGGAGGAACCGGGCAGAGGAGGAGGAGGAGGAGGAGGAGGAGGAGGATTCAGAGGAGGAGCAGGGGGAGAAGGAGGAGGAGGAGGAGGAAGAGGAGGAGGAGACGGAGGAGGAGAAGGAGTAGGCAGCCTCCTCCGCCTCGGAGGACTGTCCTGTTCCTGCTGCTCCTGCAGCAAGCAGCTCTTCCCCTCCTGCCCCGATCGGGCCGCAGAGGCCAGCACCGACTCGGCGGGGCCGCCCGACGGCAGCTCGAGCACGTCGACGGCCACCTCGAGGCTGGCGGAGGCCCCCAGAAAGGGAGGAGTGTCGGACGAACGGGCCATGAGTCTACTCCAGGACGAGGATCACATCGGGCGAAGATAATCCGAGAATCTCTGAGATCTGGCGGCTCTGGAAGAGGTCTCGGGCGCCGCGGCCTCCTCCGAGCGTTCCGGGACGCTCTGAGATCGATCCGGGACGCTCTCGAACGGGCTTGTCCTCGTACTGGACCAGACCGAGGAGCGTCGGACGAAAGGGGCAGCAGAGCCCAGAATCGAATCGAATAAACCGGATCGACCGAGATCGGCAGCCGAGTTGGGAGAAGTCGAATCGGTGGAAATCGGAAGGCCAGGAGGCCTTTATTGTGTTGATACTGGTGATGGTGACAATGTTGCTGCTGTTGCGGATGATTTTGTTGATGTTTGCTATGATGGTGATGACGAAGATGTTGATGTTGTTGATTGATGGTGGCAGTCATGATAGTAGTTATGCTGATGGTGGTGATGCTAATTTTGTTGATGATGAGGATGACGACGATTATGCTGCTGCTGATGAGGTGGAGGATGAGGAGACGGAGGAGGATGGCGATGACGATGACGATGATGATGCTGATGATGATGCTGATTATGATGGTGATGATACTGATGATGATGATGATGCTGCTGCTGATGATGCAGAGGAGGAGGAGGATAACTATGACGATGATGATGATGATGATGATGATGATGCTGATTATGATGGTGATGATACTGATGATGATGATGATGCTGCTGCTGATGATGCAGAGGAGGAGGAGGATAACTATGACGATGATGGTGATGATGCTGATGGTGAACATGATGCTGATGGTGATGACGACGATGATGATGATGATGCTGATGATGATGATGGTGATGATACTGATGATGATGATGCTGCTGATGATGATGATGCGGAGGAGGAGGAGGAGGAGGATAAGTAAGTATGATGATGATGGTGATAATGCTGATGGTGAACATGATGCTGATGATGATGAAGACGATGATGATGATGCTGACGATGATGATGATGCTGATGCTGATGATGCTGATGATGATGAAGATGATGATGATGTTGATGATGGTGATGATGATGATGATGATGATGCTGATAATGCTGATGATGATGATGATGATGATGATGCTGATGATGATGATGATGATGATGATGATGATGATGATGATGATGATGATGATGATGATGATCGGGTGCGGGCCTGAAGGACACGGAGCGACACTCTTCGACGGCTTGCTGAATTCGGCAGCGTGCACAGACGCCGACGCCCCCTCGGGGCCAACAACGAGACGGGGGCCTACCCGCCACCGACCTTGCGGTCCGAGGCCAGCGGGGCCAGTGGCACGCAGCCGCCTCCGAAGCTCCGAGACCGGAGGGCCCGCGGGCTGGCGGGCGAGGCCCGCGCCGCCGAGGTTCCAAAGCCGAATCGAGCCGACGAGGAGGGCGCCACCCACGCGGAAGGGCCCGGGTCCCGAGGTCGTAAGGGCCACACGGACGCTGACTCTGATGCTGCTGCTGCTGCTGATGATGCTGCTGGTGATGATGCTGATGCCGATGCTGATGAGGGTGATGATGAGGACGAGGAACATGGAGAACAGCATGCAGCAGGCGGAAGAGGAGGAGAAGGATGAAGTCCATCGCGCAATGCTGGTCCTGGTTGTCGTCATGGCGGCGCGCAAGATGGGGCAGGGCTGGCAAGAAAGCGTCCCGTCTCTTCGAAGGAAAGCGTGGAGCGTATGGGTTCTGCTGTGCCGATGCCGTCTAAAATATCCCCCTGCCATAACGCCCAAACCTCATGCGACAATGGCTACGGCAGATTCGTGACGTGATGACTTGGGAACCTCGAACCTTGCGCAGATCGCTCAACCTTGAAAACGGCCAACGGAGGCGTTCACCTTTGAGCGCTTGCGCTGGGGTCGCCACCACTCTCCAAGATGGATGTTCTCTTAACCGCTCAGCCCCCAGTTCAGATGGAAACTCCACGGACGGGAGGAGGAGGAGGAGGAGGAGGAGGAGGAGGAGGAAGAGGAGGAGGAGGAGGAGGAGGAGGGGGAGGAGGAGGAGGAGGAGGAGGAGGAGGAGGAGGACGGGCTTGAGCCGGACCTCCAGGCCACGGAGACGAGAGGGCGCGAGCATGCGCAGGGGGGGGGGGGGGCCAATCGTGCCAAACGGGGTGGTCTGAACAGACTGGCCCGTCCTACGCGAGGAATTGGAAGCCTCACAATCATGCCATCGTGCCCGTCCTACGCGATGAATTGGATGCTGATGGATTACCTACGCATCCAGACGGGGGACAATCGTGCCAAACAGGGGGGTGCCAATCGTGCCCGTCCTACGCGATGAGTTGGAAGCCTCACAACCGGAGTCGGCCACGATGGGGTTGGACGATCGCGCTGCATCGGCGAGGCATCGGCGATGCATCGGCGACGGCGGGATGGAGAAGAACGGGCTCCATGCGCCGCATCGCTGGTGCATTGCGCGCGAGATCCTCCGACCCCATCTGCGCTGGCCCGGCCCCATCTGCCCGACTCTGGAAACCGTGGATCCCGCAATACCAGCGTCCCACTCTTATCGGGAATCTGCTGACCCGGGTCAATGCAAACCCAGGTCAGTCAGGCTTTGCAGGACACTGCAAGATCCTGCAGGATGCTGCACCCGAGCTGGGATCAATGCGACCCTGACTCTGCAGGATCCTGCAAGGTATTGCGCTCTGGCTGACCCCCGTTCGCATTGACCCCCGTCTCAAGGCTCCCAATCTTACTTCTGTCGCCCCTACTTCCGTCGCCTTTGAGCGTCGCTTCATGGGGGGGCGATAGATGTGGGGGGGGGGGGGAAGCAAGGTGCTTTCTTCGGGCCCCAGAGGCTCCCTTGCGGCCCCAAAGGGCCCCTTCAGGGACCCGAACGGGCTCTTTTCGGCAACCCTCGCTGCCCCCCACTATATCGCCCCGCCATTACGCGACGCCCCACACTCCTCCTCCTCCTCCTCCTCCTCCTCCTCCTCCTCCTCCTCCTCCTCCTCCTCCTCCTCCTCCTCCTCCTCCTGTGCCTCCTCCTCCTCTGCCCCCTCCTCGTCCCACCCCTCCTCCTCCTCCTCCTCCCCCCCCCCTCCTCCCTCTCCTCTCCTCCTCCCTCCTCCTCCTCCTCATCTCCTCCTCCCCCTCCTCCTCCTCCTCCCGCCTCCTCCTCCCCCTCCTCCCTCCCTCCTCCTGTGCCCTCCTCCTCCTCTGCCCCTCCTCCTCCCCCCCTCCTCCTCCTCCTCTCCTCCTCCTCCTCTCTCCTCCTCCTCCTCCTCCTCCTCCTCCTCCTCCTCCTCCTTCCTCTGCCTCCCTTGCATCTGTCGCCCTCCGCTGGCAGACCCGCCGGCAGGCCCCGCCGCCGCCCTGCCCCTGGCGCCCGACCCTCCGCCGAGGGCGAGGGGCAGCGCCGAAGGCGAGGAGGGCCTCACTCCGGCTGGCGGGAGCCTTCCCGGGGGCGTCTTGCGGGGGGGTGGGTCTCCCCGGGGCCGTCGTGGGGCAGTGTGGGGCCGTCGGATGCTTCCGCCGAGGGCGAGGGGCCATGCCGAAGGCGAGGGCCTCGCTCCGGCTGGGCCCGGTCGGAGCCTTCCTGGGGCGTCTGGGGGGGCCCTTGGGCCGTCGTTGGAGGCCTCCCAGATGAGGTCCGAGTAGATGAGGTCGGAGGAATGCACCGCATCGCCGATACATCGACGATACATCGCCGATGCATCGGCGATTCGGCGTGGGGAAACACGGTCTCCACATCGAGCCGCATCGTCGATGCATCGGTGATGCGGCGCGATCCTCCGACCCCATCTACTCGGACCTCATCTTCGAGGCCTAGAGTCGTGGGGCAGTGTCGGGCCGTCGGGTAGCCGAGCGTGGGACGTCCCTGTAATTCCTGCTCGTCGCCGCGCGGTCCATTTTTCTGCGCTGATGCGTGATGTTGTGGTGTAGGGTTGGGTCGCCTTGAGGTCGTATGACCGTCTTGAAGGCGGCTCCGTGGAAGGACTTGGAGGCCACCCTGGACCTTCTCGGGCCGTCCTGGAGGCCACCCTGGGCCGTGCAGGCCGGTCTCGGAGGCAACCTGAAGCCGTCTTTTGGCAGGAGGAAGCGGGTCCTGAGGGAAACGGGGGTCCTGTACCCTGGGGAGCTTTTCCCCAGGACCAACCCTTCACCCTTAGCCGCCTTCTGAGAGTCCCAAAGCCCGACCCCGAGAGGCCACTGACTCAGAAAAACCTCGGGATCCGTTTCCCTCCAGACCCCCTTGAGAAAGACAGTTATCGTGTTGGGAGGAAAAGGTTTGGGAAAATACAGGGCACGGCTGTGCAATACGCGCACTCAGCATGCTCGATAATACGGGTGATCTGATCAGTTCTCCCAGCCCCATCCTCCCAACCCGATGCAGTCGGATCCAGGCCACAATGATATCCCTCAAGAACACGAGACTCTCCGCCGGCAAACATGGAAAACCATCGAGGGCCCCCTCCCCCAGGACGCACAGGAACATCCAGCAAGCAGCATCACTACTGGGGTGCCCTCCCCGAGCCGACCTCGATCTCATACCTCGGTCCGACTCTGCAACTGTCTTTCAGACCCTGTACTTCCTGGCGAATCTTGGCGGGAGGCCTGGACGAATGGCTCCCGAACAAAGCCGCCCGTGTGCGCTGGGCGGTGGGCGCCGGACCTCGCGGCGCTGCGGCGCGGGGCCGTGGCGCGCCTCCTCGGCCGTGGTGGCGCCCGCGGCGGCGCGGCCGCGCCTGGCGTGGCAGCAGCCCAGGGGCTGGCTGGACCCCCCGGAGGGCTGCTGCTGCTGCTGGAGTCCGCCGCTGGTCATGGTCCTCCTCCTCCTCCTCCTCCTCCCGTTCCTCCTCCTCCTCCTCCTCCTCCTCCTCCTCCTCCTCCTCCTCCTCCTCCTCCTCCTTCTCGTCCCGAAAGCCGACTGCCCGCCGCGGACAACCTGAATGCCGAATGCCTCTGCGGACGTGGCGGCCCGGCCCTCCTGAGTGCTTCCCTGAAGCTTGTTCACGTCGGGAGTCTCTCCGCGGACGCCCCGAGTGCCCTCGAGCGCGCGGGGTAGGGTGCCCGTGGTGGCCGGGCGAAGTTCTGGCTGATTCGACAATAGGGGACATTGCCCTGACTGGCTTCCCGGGTGAAGGGGCATGGGGGAACAGCCGCCCCGAAGGCCCGTTCCCCTCCTCTTCTTCCTCATTATCCTTCCCCTCTTCCTCTCATCCATCTTCTTCTCCGGCACCCACCAACGAGCAAGCCCGAAGACGGGTGAAAACGGAAACGGTTAGGGCTGGCTCATCCTCTGCTCCTGCTCCTGGTCCTGCTCCTGCCTCCTATCCTCCTCCACCTCTTCTTCTCTCCGTCGTCCGCCCTCCTCCACCGTCCCACCTCCTCCCTTCGACGACGAGGAGGATGAGGGAGGAAGGCGGCTCGGATGATGAGGAGCAGCGTGATGAGCATCAGGAGCAGTAGGAGCACGACCGTGATGGAAATATGCTTGTGACGGGTTCCGGGGATGAGGCGGCATCCCTCCCGACGAGGTGCCACCCTCCCCTTCCCTCCCCTCGCCCCCTCCCCCCCCCTCCCCTTGCTTGGAGGGGCGTCCCTCGCCCCTCCCCTCTCCTCCCCGCCCCCCCCCCCCTCCCCGACGATGCCGTGGAGGCCGCCGCCTCCCGAGGAGAAAGCCTGGGGGGGCTGCGCGCGCCCAGCCTGCGCAGACGCGCTTGTCGGAGGCGCGCGAGCGCTGCGGTGGTGCATGGGGGGGGGGGGAGCGGTCGGCGCTCCGGGTGTCTTGGAGGAGGATGCGGGGCCCGAAGGTATGCACCACCACCACCTCCCGCGCCCCCCCCGCCCCCCCTTCCCCCTCCCTCTCCCAGGGAAGAGGGGAGAGGAAGATGAGGGGTGGGGGGGGGGGACAGGGTGAATGGAGGTGGTGGTGGGTGAATGGAGGTGGTGGTGGGTGAATGGAGGCGGTGGAGGAGGATGAGGGTGGGGGGGAGGGTGAATGGAGGTGGCGAGGGTGGTGTATATTGTTGTGGCCCGCAGGGGAGGCCATGGCACTCGCCATCGCTCGGACGGCCCTTCCCCGTGCATTTTGTTCGGCCTCGTGCGTGCTGTTTTCTCGCCGGGTGATCCCAGATGCTCCTCGATGGTCCTCGCCGGGAAAAATGCCCACGTCCGAGCGATCCCAAGGGCGGGGAGGGCGGCGGAATCAGGGATGATGCTGATGATGATGATGCTGCTGCTGCTGCTGCTGCTGCTGCTGATGATGATGATGATGATGATGATGATGATGATGATGATGATCATGATGATGATGATGATGCTGATGCTGATGATGATGATGATGATGATGATGATGATGAGGATAGGGGCGATGATGAGGCTGAGGACGAAGATGGTAGTGCTGATGACGGCCATGGCGATGATGTCGACGGGGCTCCGGAAGGAAATGGATCCGGACTCCTGCGAGGAGGGTTATGACGACGCAAGAACAGTGGGACGAGCACGGCGATGGCGCAGAGGAAGGGCGAAAGAGGAAGGGTGACGAAGGCGGAATTAGCGAGAGGAAGAGGAGGAGGAGGGAGGAGGAGGAGGAGGCCAAGGAGTGAGAGGAAGGGAGGGAGGAGGAACGAAGGGGGTGGAGGAACCACGAGAACGAGAACGGAAACACAAACGCTGGGCCCGCTGGGCCGACATCTCGTGATCACATATTCTCTCAGACCGCAATCCATCTCGCTCTTAGAGGGATACGTGGCTGGAAAGCATCAGGCCGCGCGTGGCATCATTTGTATACATTAGAGTTTCCACCCAGCTCCTACCACTCGAGTTGGGGATCGACTACAAAATCATTTCGCCCCAGAATTGATGTGTTCGTCGGGCATGCGACAAATACGTCGAATGTTCGTAGATCTGCAAACATTCGACATAGTTTTGCAGATCCGACGAACTGTTCAATTCTGGGGCAAATCAATTCTGTAGTCGATCTCCAACTCAACCGCTGCTGGACAGCCCTACGCTTGAGCCAAGTCGCCCCAATTTCGCGCGTCGCGCTCCCGCATGCGCGCTTCTCAGCAGGCTCTCTGGACCGGGCCGCGAGGTGCGAAGCACGACATAATCCTCGCGCACCCGCGGACGACCTGCAGTAGCAGTGGGCACAGACGATGAGAACACCTGATGTAACAAACACCGTGGGGCACATTCTTAGTGCATGCGCCGAGGGCCTTGCCGAGACAACCGTAAAGGAACAATAGTTCGAAAACTCATGCAGGCACGAGCCCACGGGAGCACCGCAGGCTGCTCAGGGCTCCTGGGCAGCGGGGGCATCGTCCGCACGCCGCGCCATGGCTGCTCGCCCGCGCTGCTCGGCCTCCGCCGCTAGCAGGGTGGCAATGCTAGAAGGAACCCTTGGATAAGGAACCCAGTGTCTGGAAGCAGGCGGAACATCAGTTGAGCCTTGGCCGTGGACATCACCGCGGCTCTCATCAGAGAAAGAATCCTCCATGGCCTGAAGCCTCCTGAGCGCAGAGGAGGAGGGGGAGGAGGAGGAGGAGGAGGAGGAGGAGGAGGAGGAGGAGGAGGAAGAGGAGGAGGAGGAAGAGGAGGACGCAACAGACGACGAGACGTTGCACACGAGGGGGGAAGGGAGGAGGCTTTCCCGCCCAAACGCCCCGTGCACCTGCTGGTGCGCTGCACCGCCAGGCCGTGGCAACGGAAATCCGCGATCCTCCCTCGAGGGGAAACGAGGGGGATGAGGCAGGGAGATTGGATTGCGCATCTGATTTAACCGCTGGCTGGTCAGGAAAAGGACGGCACCCAGCAATCGGCCATGCGAGACAGAATGTAAAGGTCAAAGCTGCGGCACTGGCGCCAAGGATGCGGGCAGTCGATGGAAGGAGGAGCAGGGAGGAGGAAGGTACAGGTCGGGCTAGGGAGATGTAAGCGGGACGAGGGACTTGGGAGGAGGGAGGAGGGAGGGAGGAAAGGAGGGTGGGAGGGGGGCGACGAGGAGGAAGAAAAAGGGGGGGACCCGGGGGGGGGAGGGAGGAGGGAAGGGGCGCCAGAAACGGGTGCAGCTGCGCAAGCCTCCTGTTCTGCACGAGCTCGGCCGCACCACGGGCAGCGTGGCCCGATCCCCCGCGCCCCGGCCCCATCCCCCTGCCTCCCCGGGGGTGAAGGGAAGAAAGCAGGCCGTGGTCGGATTGGGCCCCTGCCCCCGTCCCTCCGCCTCTCTCCCTCCGCCTCCTTCGCTCCCCCTCTCCCCTCTTCTCCTCCCCTGGGGGGGGGGGTAGTCCTCCCCTTCGTGCGCCCCGCTGCCGTTTTTGCCGTTTTCAAAACATGGTCCCTGAACGCATGAGAACGGTGACCAAACGGTTCCCAGAAACATGAAACAAACTGCTCCTGGATTCGAGCCAAAACTGGAACCAGCAACATTCTAGACGACAGACAAAACAAAGAACAATAACTGCGCCATGGCAACAAAACTGCAAAGCGGAACCAACAAGAAACAGGGATTTGTCGTTTCCAGGGCCCATTAAGGTCCTGCCACGGTTCACTCCCCCCGTTGAGGTTGGGTCTCTCATTTTTGAGCGTCTTCGGCATGGGTGGGCACGGCGGGTGGCGGGAAAGAGGGGGCACGGATCATCCATGCCCCGTCGTGGGCGATTTCGGTTTTCCCCCAAGCAGCGCTTGCAATTCAGAGGATCTGACTTGTCTCCCCCAACAAATTGGTTGGGTCTGGCGAGGTTTCGCCGCGTTACCGCCTCGCTGCCGCCTCGTGCGCTGGGTGGGTCTGGGAGAGGACTCGCAACATTGCCGCCCGTTGCCGCTTCGTTGCCGCGTCTGGCCTACAGCCATATAACTTGCACCACATAGCTTCCACATCCACAGTGCAATGACATTTTTTTTGAATCGCTCCCATGGAATGACATACTGTTTGGGGTCAGCGCTGGCTGACATTTTTGAACATGGTTTGCTCGCTGTCGCCAAAGCTACGTCTTCGGTTTCGTGATCTGCGTGACGACTTCCAGCTTTGGTGCTTTTGCTGCGGGCGGAAGTGTACAAATCTCCCCCCCAGATCCCAGATCTCCGACGTTGTATTCTTTCCAGCGTGCACCTCCGGAGGGCTGGACCTTCCTTCCCAAGACCAGACTTCAGTCCCGAGTGTTTTTCACGGCCCTGGGGCCCCCGTCCGTCTCGATCGAGTTCTTCTCAGCAAGAGGAGGCCTGGGGCGTCCCCGGTGGGGGGGGAGGCTGGAGCCATCAGAGCCTCGGGCCGTCTTTCATGGACCAAGGGGCGGAACTCTCTGGGCACCCTCTCTTCTGGGATGCTCTCAGGCCCCTTCTACGTTTCTCCTCCTCCTCCTCCTCGTCCTCACCGGCACCCAGACATCAGCAGGCCTTAAGGGGCCTCAAGGACAACTTGCACTGGCCGCAGGTAAGGCTGCATAGGCACGGCCTACACCCCAGCTGCGACTTTAGGCTCCGCGGGGGAGGCGGGAAGGCTCTGGCACAGACAACGTCGGCGTGGCGCATGCGGCGCTGCGTCGGGGCGGAGCCTCAAGTGACCTGGCGCGCCGCGAATCCCCGAGTGGCGAACAGGTCTGCGCGTGGCATTATTCCGTCACCTCTTGGGCTGATCCTCGCTCGGGAACCAGAACAGCTGGCGCATTTGGTGGATCCAGCGGGCGCCGAGCTGGGGATTCACTCGCGACTGGCGCGGTGCTCGCCGAGGGGGAGGAGGTGGCGGGCGAGGCGGCAGGGCACGGAGGGGGAGAGGGGAGAGGGGGGGCAAGGCAAGGCCCCCGCATCGTTCGCACTCGTCCCCTCCTGCGCCGGCGGGCGCCGAAGCGGGGCGGCGCAGCGTCTGAACCACCGGGCGCTGCAGGCGGCAGGCGTCCTCGGCCTTGGGCTCCGGGTGGGCCAGGAAGCGGGCTGCCTTGCGGGCTGCTGCGGCGCCGCGCAAGACCGCCTTGTCTGGCTCTAGGGAGCGCGGCGGCTCTCCCTGTCCGGAATCCTTGGCCAACTTGCGCAGCGAGGCGGTGGGGTCTGTCTCCGCCGTGAGTTCCTCGAGCGCCGTCGTGTCCTGGCGGGCCGCAGCCCCGACCACATTGGCCAAGAAAAAGCTGCTCTGGGCGGTTTGGGCGGCCTGCGCCTGCGCCTGCACTTGCGCCGCCGCCAGCGCGGCGCCGACCCAGCCAGCAGGGCCCTGGCCCCAGTCGCTGGGCAGTCAAAGGGGGAGGGCGCCAGAGCGCCGCTTGCGGGGAGGCTGCAGGCTGCCGCTGTGGCCGGGCTTAGGAAGCACCTGGAGCAACTCGTGCACGGCCGCCTGGCGGCGCGGCGCGAAGTCAGCCAGAGGCCCCGGAGGAAACCGCGGTTCCCCATCGTGCCCAGGTCCTTCAGCAGCTCGCCAGCGTCTGCCTCCTCGTAGCCGCACTTGTGGAGCGCGTCGGTGAGACGCTGCCAGCGGCTATCGTCTGTGACAGTCCTGGCCGGTTCGTGCCCAAACAGCGGCAGGTAGGCGGCGCGTGCGCGAGGAGGCACACGAGGAGGGCCAGCGGGGAGCCTAACTTTGCTTCGCCTTCGTGAATCCGAATTTGTAATACCCATGAGCTATTGTGGGCGTTTGAACTAATATCCGGGTTTCGGTTTGTATCTACATCGCATGTCGAGGAGGACCATGTTTCGCCTGGTGGCCGCCCCTAAGTCACGGGCGAGAAGGCGAGGTCGGGCGCAAATGGTCTTGACGCTGATGATGACGGTGGGGAAGATGAGGCACTGTGCCCCGAGACACGAAGTGGTTCTCCGTCGGGTCCTTTCGAATTCTCTCTGTCGAAAAAATGTTGATTGAAGGGCCCAGGGCCCGGGACCCTGGAATTCTTGGGCGATCTCGGGCGTTTCTGGGCGTTCCTGTGGTTCCCTGCCTTCCCCAGAGTTATCGGGAGCGTGGTTCGGAGCTCGTGCTTCCAAAGTGCCATGATACTTCCCACGATCACAAAGTGGTTGAAACACTTGAGGCGTCTGGTTGCTTTGAAAAGGATGAGGGTGAAAATGGTGAGGCTGATGATAGTGCTACTGCTGCTGCTGATGATACTGATGATGCTGGTGATGGTGATGGTGTTTTTGCTGCGGCTGCTGCTGGTGGTGGTACGAGCATGGTGATGATGTTGGTCGCGATGGCTCGGATCAGATGAAACATTTGTCGCCTCCCATATGGGTCATATGGTCAACACTTTAAGGACAGGGCTGTGATGGCCCTCCGTGAGTTCCTCCAAGCCCTTCGGATACACAAGTTCGGCAGATCCTCCGTCTGATCATAAGCGGTCAAAACGCATCTGGTGCTTGAATGTATTGAGGTCTGTCGTGCCTGCAAGCTCTTCGTATATTTCATAGCCGTGAGAGAAGCAACTTTCGATGACGCTTTCGCTTCTCGGGGAATTGCAGCTTTGCTGGCTGCGTGTAGATGTGTGCGGGGTGTGCTTGTATGATGGACCATTCATGGCGCCACGGTTACCTGGTTGTTGATTGCATGGACAAAGGGACAAATCCACCGTATGTGCTGGCGTGCCGTGTGACAGTCTGTGCTCCCCTGGGGAGATGAAGGTTTTCGACGAGCGTCTTACGTGTCGTCTCGTCGGCCATCCGTTCTGCGCGATTATTGAGACCCCCGCTGTACAACCTCACCTTGGCTCTGTCCGTCTTCAACAACCGCACGATCTGCTGAAATTGGCGCGCCCTGGTTTCTAGTTTCTTTGCGTCATGGTGCGCGCACCCAGTGGCCACCGAATATATCAATTGCTGATGCTTGGCCGCCACCTTTGTCACAATGCCTCCTTTTCAATTGCAAAGGTCCTTCTCCCACTGCCCAGATCGTGACTCGTGACAGTGGAGTTAACCTTTTGTTAAATACTTCATGTTGTACCCCATGGGGGGGATGCCTGGTCTGGTCGTCAGGAGCTTCGCGATCCGCGAGCCCTGTGGCTTCCTGCTGACAGAAGAAGATGACGTTCGCCACGCTGGCCTCATCGATGTTGCGGATCATTGCATCAAGGGCCTAGTGGTAACTGGCCAGGTCGTTGTTCTCCTGGTTAGATGTCACCCCCAGAATCCTGGGCCCGCCTTTCTTTTCCATACCTGCGCCGGCAACCCTCTCCGACACCCGCGCCGAATGCAGCAGGGCATGTATAATAATAGGGAGCAGACGCGACAGCGGTATTGGTGGGACGCTCACTCTGGCAGTCTGCGTGTAGAAACGCCCTTGATGGCAGCTTGAGCCAAATTTGCTACGGATGATGATGCTGATGAGGCTGATGATGTTGGTGTTGATGTTGATGCTGGCGACGAGGATGATGACGTCGATGGTGACGATGATGATGCTGATGTTGTTTATGTTGGTGTTGATGGTGGCGACGGTTAGCATGATAATGGCACTGCTGCTGAAGGTAATAAATCTGCTACGGATGATGATGGTTCGGTTGATGATAATGATGCTGATGATGATCTTGGTGATGATGATGGTGCTGATGCTGATGATCATGCTGATGATGATGATGCCGAGGAGGAGGGGGGGAGGAGGAGGTGGAGGAGGAGGAGGAGGAGAAGGAAGAGGAGGAGGACCAGAGTAAACCCAAGAGTCATCAACGATGTTGGAGTAAACCCTCCCTCCAAACTCGCTCTTCAAAGGCCCCTACAACAGATCATTTCCACCGGGGGAACTGCCTCGTTGGCAGACAACCGTTTGAAGACCCTGAAGCATGCCAACACATTGTTCTTGTGATTCCAACGCCACGGATCAACTTGACTGTTGCGTGTTGACAACCCTGAATCGTGCAAGGCCGCCGTTCCTGGGACTTCAACACAACGAATCAACGTAACTGTTGCGCCCGCGAAACCATGAACTTTATCAAAACACACTTTCTGCTACGTTGATGATGGAAATCCGTGAACCTATTGCAAATAGTTGAATCGAGTGTGCGCCGCGGTGAAGCAAGAGCCACACTTTGAAAAGGAAAGAGAGAGCGTGATCCACCGCCGCTTTACTGTGGAAAATTGCCCCCCTCTTCCTCCGGAACCCGGGGTTCCCCCCCCCCTCTCCGAAAAAACCGGAAAAAACCGGGGGGGGTCACTACCGGTTCGACCCCCCCCCCCTCGAAAACCGGAGGGGGGGTCACTACCGGTTCGAACCCTCCCCACCCCCCCACTCACCGCCAGCAAACGACTCCCGGTCCCTACCACCGTCCGCATCACATCCCCCACTGTTGTTCCCAGCCCACTGTCCTCACCACCACTGTCCCCGCTGGTTCCACCACCGTCCCTACTGTCCCCACCAGTGCCCCCACCACTGTCGCACTGTCCCCACTGTCCCCACCACTGTTCCCACCACGGTTCCACTCTCCCCACTTTCTCCACGGCCCCAACCACTGCCCGACTATCCCCACTGTCCCCACTGTCCCACTGACTCCTCCGCTGTCCCACTGAGCTGTCCCACTGTTCCCACCACTGTCCCCACTGTCCCCACCACTGTCCCCACTGTACCTTCTCATTGTCCCATCGCCGTCCTCGCCACCGCCTTCACCACTGTCCCCACCACCACTGTACACTCCACTGTCCCACTGTTTCCACCTCATTCCCACTGTCCCCACACCACTGTCCCCACCACCACCGTCCCCACCAATGTCCACTGTCCCCACTGTTCCCACCAATGTCCTCTCCTCCTCTCCACTGTCCCCATCACTACCGTCCCCACCACTGTCCCACTGTCCCCACCGCTGTCCCGCTGCCCCCTCACCACTGTCCCCACCACCACCGTCCCCACCACTGTCCGCACCCCCCCTCGGCTTTCGAGGGGGGGGGGTTCGAACCGGTAGTGACCCCCCCCCTTTTCATGATGAACTGGGGGGGGGAGGGGTTCGAACCGGTAGTGACCCCCCCCCCGGTTTTCCGGAGGGGGGGGGGGGGGGCGGGGTTCGAACCGTAGTGACCCCCCCTCGGTTTTCCGCCAGCAGCGGTAGAACACGCTCTTTCAAAGGAAAGGAACCGCCCACCATTCGCGACTTAGAGTGTGTGCCGCGCTAAAGCGAGAACCACTCTTTGAAAAGGAACCGCCCTTAATCCGTGAACCTCTTACATTTTTAAGGCTGATAATAAAAAAACGAATGTGCGCCGCGCTACAGTAAGAATCACATTTTGAAAACCACCCGCCTGACCCCGTGAAACTCTTGCAATTGTTGTACAACGAATGCGCGCCGCGCTAAGGCGGGAACCACATTTTGAAAACCACCCGCCCTCAATCTGTGAACCCCATGCAAATTTTTAGAACGAATGTGCGCCGCGCTAAAGCGAGAACCACATTTTTCTAAAGCTTCAGAATCATAAATGGTGAGGAAGTCTCAGGCGAAACGCCGGGCCTGCCCTAAGAACTGGCCTTGGAGGAGGAGGAGGAGGAGGAGGAGGAGGAGGAGGAGGAGGAGGAGGAAGAGGAGGAGGAGGAGGAGGAGGAGGAGTAAGAGAAGCAGAAGAGGAGAGGCAGCAGCAGCAGAAGCCCTCACCTGCCTCCACCCCCCAGTCTCTTCTCCTCTCCTCCCCCTTCCCTTCCCCCTCTCTCTTTTTCCTCCCCCCTTTCCATCCATCTTTGTTCCCGTCCCCCCCCTCCCTCCCCCGCTCCTCCTCGCTCTCCTCGTCCTCCTCTCCCTGCTCCCTCCTCCCCCTCGCTCCTCCTCGCCTTCCTCCTCCTCCTCCTCCTCCTCCTCTTCCTCCTCCTCCTCCTCCTCCTCTTCATCCTCCTCCCCCCCTCGCCCCTACTCGGCCTCCTCTTCGCTCCTCCTCCTCGCCCCCCCTCCCCCTTCGCTCCTCCTCGGCCCCCCCTTGCCCCGCCTCGCCCCCGCTCCTCCTCGCTCCTCCTCCTCCCCAACCGCTGGCGCCAGCCCTGGCGCATCGACAGGCTCGTCCGGCAGCAGCCGCCGCAGCTCCTCGAGGAAGGCGCTCCGGTTGCCGGGCCTCCTCCCGCGCGCGCGCGCGCGCGCCCCGCGCGGGCCTCCTCAAGGCCCTGCAGCCCGCCGTCCGTCGCCCCCCTCGGCCTGCTCATCGTGCTCCCCCTACCCCTGCTGCTGCTGCTGCTGCTGCTGCTCTCTGGCCCCTCCCTCCTCTCCATCCCCTCCCTCCTGTTCCCTGGGCGAGCCGCGGGCGCAACTGGGTGGAGCGTGAACTCCCTCCCTCCCTCCTGTACCTCTCTCCCCTCCTCCCTCCTCCCTCGCTCCTCCTCTCTCCCTCCCTCCGCTTCGTTTTTCTCTTACCTCGAGGAGGAGGAGGAGCAGGAGCAGGAGGAGGAGGAGGAGGAGGAGGAGGAGGAGGAGGAATGGGAGGAATAGGAGGAGGAGGAGGAGGAGGAGGAGGAGGAGGAGGAGGAGGAGGAGGAGGAGGAGGAGGAGGAGGAGGAGGAGGAGGAGGAGGAGGAGGAGGAGGCCTTAAGAGAGCCCCAAAATGACCCAAGAGAACCTCAAGACCGCCCATGATGCCTCCAAGATGGCCCCAGAGGTTTCCCAAACGGCTCCAACAGGGTGCCCAGACGGGGGGCCCGACGAACCCTCGGCGACAGAGGCTCCCAGGAAGCCCCAAGATGCCCCCAAGAGGCCACCACGAGACCCCCAAGAGGCCCCCAGGAAGCCCCAAGAGGCCCCCCCCGCCACATTAGAGAACGCATGGGTCGCCCTCCAGGGTCGGCGGCACCGGCCGTAAGGCCTTCGCAATAGGAGGAGGAGGAGGAGGAGGAGGAGGAGGAGGAGGAGAGGAGGAGGAGGAGGAGAGGAGGAGGAGGAGGAGGAGGAGGAGGAGGAGGAGGAGGAGGAGGAGGAGGAGGAGGAGGTTGGAGCGTCTGGGGGGCAACGTCTTCAACCACTCTACTGCCGACGACGCCACAAACGACCCAGTTGGCCGAGGGGCAGTTCGACGGCTTGGAGGGCGGCTCGCGCCAGGCTTTGGGCGGCCTCCTGAGAGAACGGGGGCGCGTGGGCTTTATTCCCTTGGTGTGCCAACCGATAGAGATGAAAATAAAAAGCGGTGAATTTGAACGTCTCGGGGGCGGGGTGGATCAGTCCCAGAGCCAGGAGGGGGTCCAAAAACGGGGGCGCGGGGAGGTCAGCTCCTAATTGCCTACGGGCGAGCATATACATCGGGTCGCACCAACGGAAATAATGCTTTAAAGAATCGCGAGCCCCAGGACAGCCCCAGACGCACCGCCTATACGGGTTGCGCATCCTGGACTCTGTGATCCAGCCCCCTCCCCACGTCTTAATGCAAGCACTGCGCCAGGACGGCGGGATGCGATGCATCACCGAGGCGACGGCCGACCAGTCGATCGCCTCAGCGTCGACAGCGTGGACCCCGAACCAGCGTTGGAGACGCTCCTGCAGGCGGAGATGGAGGCGAGGAGGAAGCCGAGAATCGCCCAACGTGCTCCGGAAACGCTTCTCCAGAACACGTTGGCGGCAGGCGCGAAGATGCGAACGGAGGAGGGAGGAGTAGAGGAGGCGCTCTGGCCGCACGCGCCGCCAGAGAGCACGCCACCCATCCCCTGCGGCGGGGCGGACGCGCCTGCGGCGGGCCTCGTCGGCGGCGGCCGCTCGGAGGGCGCGCGCAGCCGTCGCGCGGGGGCTCGTCCCGCGGCTCGACGCAGCTCTTTCCAGCGTCGCCGCGATGGCCTCGGATCGCCACCAGCTGGGCCACGGGCAGCCTCGGACCGTCCGCACCATGGGCAAGTGTTGCAGCGCGGCCCCACGGAGCTGCCGCGCAGCCGAGCGCCAGGAGCCCGGCGTGACCACCGCCGCCCTCACGAGGGCCGCCTCGCACCATGTCGTGGCCGACGGGATCTGCGGGCCGCCGACGGCGTCGAGCTCGCGCCACTCCCCGTCGCCCAGGGAGCTGCCTGGCAGGCGCAGCAGGTGCGCCAGCCTCCCCCGCTCGAGTCTCTTCAAGGAGGCGGGGGCCTCCAGCAGCTGCGCCTTGTGCGACAGGGCGGGCACGCAGCGCTCCTTGTAGAGGAGGATGGCCGCATGCGCGTCCGAGCGGCTCCTCGAGATCCCCCCGACACGCTCGGAGTACTTCCTCATCGGCGCACGCCACTGCGCCTCCTGCGTCGCCCCAGGGCCCAGCAGCACGCCCAGGTATTCGAGGTGGTCCACGATGGGGAACGCCTCCCAGTCCTTGTCAGCCGCCACCAGGGAGTCCCTCGCCCGCTCCTGCGCGCCAGCGCGCTGCGGGTCTCCCAGCGGGATGGCAAAGCACTTCGCAGGCTTGATCACCAGACCCGCCAGGAGCTTCGCGCCACAGAAGACGCGGGCCAGCGTCATCAGCCCACGTTGGGCCATCACCGCCGCGCCCAGGTCGTCGGCGCACCGCCTCGAGACGCCCCGAAGCTTGGAGCCCAGGTGGGCCTTCAGGTCCTGTCCGAATGGATGGGCGGCAAGGACGAACAGCGTGCCGCTGGCGGGGTCGCCCTGGAGGATGCCCGAACGCACCGCATAGAGCGCAGCCCTCGTACGTGAGGCCGCAAGGGAGACGAACCCGTCATAGTTGACCTTCAGCGCGTCCTGGAGCCCCTGGGGAGCGGCCATGGCGCGCAGCGAGCCGAAGAGCCAGTCCTGCGCGATGCTCGGGAAAGCCTGGCCCCAGTCGAAGGAGACGAGGAAGGGGGAGTCGTCATGTCCAGCAGCCATGGACAGCACGCGGGAGTGCGAGTCGAGCTCGACTATGTTGTCGCAGAAGTTGCGCCCACAGATGAAGCCGCGCTGCGTGTCCACGCAGTGCCGCTCCGCCACCCGCTTCATGCATGAGTTGAGGGCCCACTTGACGGCCTTCTTGGATGTGTTCTCCAGCGCCAGCGGCCGCGTCTCACCGGCGCGCCTGAGGACTTCTTGAGGATCATCAGCCCGCGTCCCCTTGGCGGGGAAGACGGCGATGGAGTAGTTCCATTCCTGGCGCATGGGTAGGCCCTCAAGCTGCCGCGCCATCGCTTCCGCCAGCGTCTCGACTCCCATCGGCGTGGCGAGCCAGGCCTGGCCCAGGTGCCGTCTTGCGGGCCCTGCGGAGAGCCAAGACAATGGTGCATGCCGAGGGGGGCTCGATCGAGGCCCAGTCGACTCCTTGGATGCCATAGCGTCGGAGATAGCCACCCTGCAGCTCCTGTCGACGCTGAACAGCACGAAGAGCATCTCGGGGGAGGGGCACCATGACGCCGTCCTGGAAGGACATGGGGGCGCCGCTTATGCTGGAGGCAAGATTGCGCATCATGTCCTCCGCGGACTGCTTCCGTTTGACCACGTCATCGCCGAAGACGCCTCGTCAGTAGTTCGCTCGCGCCCTCTGGATATCCTGCTCCGACCGCGCGACCGTGCCATCGTCCAGCTCGATGCCCCCCAGGAATCGTCGCGCCGACGACGGTGCCCAGATGGCCGCACGCCGTCGTAGGGCCCTCTGCTGCCTGACCATTGCTGCCTTGTTGGGCTCGCGCAACTCACCGTCCATGTCCTGCTGACGCTGGCGGAGTAGTGCTTGCAACTCGTGGTGTTGCGCTAATCGGTAGCGTCGAGAGAACCCCTGCGGGTGAAGAAGCACCACTTGGCGTCCAGCATGTCCTGGGCGATCGCGAAGCTCGATCATCTGGCTCGTCCATGTATGTTGGCGCAGTAGTGTCTCAGCCATCCGCATGTCCTGCCGCGATATCGCTCGACCAAGTTGTCTCCAGATCAACGCCGTCGGCGACCGCAGACCAGGCCCCCCACGAAGAATGGCATCTCTGGTGGCGGCCGCTGCGGTCTGCAGGATCTTCGTGTGGTAGTGCGCCCGATCAGGAGGAGAGAGACCATCAAGGGGGACCGCGAGCTCGTACTTCCTGATCATCTCGCCGAACAACGGGGTTCTCAGAGACGAAGGACGGCACAGGGTTGATGACGCCCGTGGTAGGTCTCTTCCTGGGAGGGCGAGGTGTCCATGCCACCGAAAACATCGCGTGGTCCGAGAGGCCGTCGAGGTGCATCTCGTGGGGCTCTTCATGCACCTGTCCATGCTGATAGGTCTGCGTGAGCAACCACCGTGGGGAACCAATCCAAATCTTGTCGATCGTGGTGGCGATCTGCCTGCCTGGGTGCCAATGCGTCGGTTTGTGAGGGATCATCTCCGTCGCAGCACTCAGCGCGTGCGTCCATGCACGTCCGCGGGGGTGGGTGGCAGCCCTGCGCCCGCCACCAGGAACCAGCGGGTCCTCCACCTCCGCATTCTCGCCGTAGTTGAAGTCGCCCACGATCACTACACAGCACCTCCTCGGGTCCATCTCCATGTCACGGAGATCGGCCTGGATCGCGCCAGCGACACAGCGTACCTGCTCGCGCGTTAGGGCATGGTCATGGATGTTCCAGTGCTGCAGCGTGTAGCCAGGAGGAGGAGGAGGAGGAGGAGGAGGAGAAGGAGGAGGAGGAAATGGAGAGAGGGAAATCAGAGATACGTTGCCCGATGGAGGGGCATGAAGAGGGGGTAGGGTGGAGTTGAGGAGGGGGGGAAATGAGGAAGAGAAGGAGGAATAGGAGGAGGATGAGGAACAAGAGGAGGAGGAAGAGGAGATTAATCACAGGCGCAAGAGCGACGGAGGTTAAATATGAAGATGGGCTATGGTGGCGTGGTGGGTGGTGTGGGGGTTGGGAAGTAGGGGTGGGAGAGGAAACGGAGGGGGAGCAAGGAGAGTTGAAAGGAGAGTAGGGATGCTGCTGATGATGGTGGGGAGGGGAAGGAGGAGGAGGAGGAGGAGGAGGAGGAGGAAGAGGAGGAGGAGGAGGAGGAGGAGGAGGAGGAGGAGGAGGAGGAAAAGGAGCAGGAGGAAACGGATGACGACAACCACGAGAAGGGCGACGCAGACACACATCCAGCGTAGCGAATCGCTGCGCTCGAATTCAGTGCTGGGCCCCGCGATCGGTCTCCGCTGAGCTTTTCGTGGGCCCAGGACTAAATAAAAC